TGCTAGGGATACCTCACCAACAGACTGCCCCCTATCAAATGGCTCACAGGCATATCCAGTGTTCTGCATGCCTCACTCCCACCTATTCACATATCCCATGGTTGGATCCCTGTGCAGACCCCAGAGGGCAATGAATATGAATCTTTGTAGACAAGTAGTGAGCATGCACAAAAGGTTGGCCCAACCCAATGGGATTGGGAGAAAGCACACAAATTTGAGCATTCTGCACACCCTAGAGTAAGTAAACAGGATACTGTCAGCATCCACACTGGCTTTGTAGGATCAAGAGAAGTACAATCTTAAGAGTCACCCTATCCCCACCCAGAGGGAACAAGAAGTATGAAGCAGGAGTATCCACAGAAAGGTCTTAGAAAGCCTCAGAATCTCCAGCAGGGCTGACAGGTGAAAGTATTCTTCTCCTGAAGCCAGTCAATAAAGGAGACTGGAGGAAGTGACTGCCTCTTTATTTTTTATATTTTATTTTATTTTATTTTATTTTATTTTATTATTTTATTTTATTTTATTTTATTTATTTTATTTATTATTTTATTTTATTTATTTTATTTATTATTTTATTTTATTTTATTATTTTATTTTATTTTATTTTTTTGGAGACAGGTAGCAGGCAGAAACCGTAGTTTATTTCAGCATCAGCAACATCTTAGCCATCACAAAAATAAACTCTACCAAGGGCGACAGAAGTCTCTACAGCGGGGCTAAGGGCTCAGCCGCCAAGTGGCGAACATCAGAGGGGTACATGGCGGGCACTGCCCGGGCAATAAGGTAGGAAGCAGCGGGGCTGGTGGTGGTGGCAGATGCGGGTTGGGGCCTCACTTCTGGGCAGGCACGAGATCATCAATGGCCTGGCCCTGCTCCAGCCGCTGCTCCATCTGGATGAGCAGCTTCACACCATCCACCACCCCCTGTACCAGCTCCACCTCTGAGAAGCCCAGGAGGTCTGCGTTGGAGACATCAAAGACGCCACCCACAGCAGCTGTGTCCACACCACCTGTGCCTCGTTTCTGAAGCCGCAGGCACTTGAGCACCTCTGGGAACTTCTCATGCTTGCCCAGGTGGGGCAGCTTGATGTGCACACCTGCCCGCAGGCCTGTGCCCAGGTTGGATGGGCTGGTGAGGATGTAGCCCAGGTGAGGGTTCCACATGAATTCGTAATTCTTTGACTTGAAAAGCGTTTCAATCTGGGTGAGGCCGTTGTGAACACCTCCTTCATGTTGCCCCCTTTCTGCATGGAGATGATCCGCAGATGGTCTTCCTCGCTGATCCACACCAGGAAGGTCTTATTGTCACTGTGTCAGATGCCGCGGGCGTCCGGCCAATCGTGGGCCATGCCCGAGGCCAGGAGCAGGGGCGACACACGGGCTTATCGAAGAGGAAGTGGTCGTCGATGAGCTGCTGCTGCTCCACCTGGGTCATGCTCTTGAGCGCGCAGTACCCGCCGGCCAGGCCACCGGCCAGGCTCCACAGAGCTTCCACCGCGAGCTGCTGATGGCACCGCGCTCCCCGCGGCCGCAGTGCGGGGGGCAGAAGCCGCGGATGCCGCGATCCGTGCGCACCCGCCAGCTCAGCACATAGTTGGGGTCCGGGTCGTCGCCGCCCTGCAGGTTGTCGGGGTTGAGGTCGGTCTTGTGCTCGTCGCTGGGCTTGTAGCCGCCGTGCCGGTCCTCGAGGATGGGGTCAAAGAGGACTCTTTGCACACGTCATAGGACTCTTCGTCGCCTGCCACGCAGCCCATGGTCATGATGTAGGGGTGGCCCGGGTTGTCCACGCCGGTCTGGATGATGTCGCCCAGAGGAGAGCCGCTGGGCGTGCTCTTGGCACGCAGGTCCGCGTAGAGCTCGGGGGTGCGCACCCTGGCCATGTGGTTGTTGTGGCCGCTGAGGTCGGGGAGCTCATCCTCGGCGGGAAGCGGAGCTTCAACGTGTCGTGGCTGTTGGAGGAGGGCATGGCGGCGGCGGCAGGTGGCTGGCTACCGGGCGGGGAAGGGGCAGTCGGTCTGTCGGCAGCTCGGGGCGAGGCACAGGCGAACTGACTGCCTCTGTAAATGTGAAGATAGCAATGTCAGATTTCAAGGAGCATGAAAAATCAAGGAAACATGACACCACCAAAGGAGTACAATAATTTTTCAGTAATGGGCCCCAAAGAATTGGGAGATATACAGTATGTCAGACATGGAATTTGAAATAGTTGTTCTAAGGCAGCCCGATGAACTACAAGAAAACACAAAAAGAGAACAAAATCAGGAAGGAGAAAATGATAAGTTTAACAGAGAAATAGGAATAATAAGAAAGAACCAAATTCTGGAGCTCAATAGAATGAATGAATTGAAAAATGAAATACTATCAATATCAGGACACCTGGTGGCTCAGTGGTCGAGTGTCTGCCTTCAGCTCAGGCTGTGATCCCAGACTCCTGGGATTGAGTCCCGTATCCAGCATCCTGCAGGATGCCTATGTCTCTGCCTCTCTCTGTGTGTCTATCATGAATAAATAAATAAAATCTTTAAAAAAAAAAAAAAAAGAAAGAGCATCAATATCAAAACTTGTTTAAGCAACAGAAAGCATTTGTGAACTCAAAGACAAGTCATTTGAAATTATTTTGTCAGATAACAAAGGAAAAAGAATGAAAAACTGTGAAGAAAGTCTATGTGGTTTATTGGATATCAACAAGGGAAAGAATATACATATTGTGGGAGTTCCAGAAGGAGAAGAGATGGAGAAAGGGGTAAAAAGATTACTTAAAAAAATAATGTCTGAAAATTTCCCAAATCTTGGGAGAGATGTGGTCCATGTTCATGAAGCTTTCCTCCTATAAGAGGAATAAACAAGGCTAGAAAGAAGTGGGAGTTAGATGAGTGGGTGGCATGATTGTAAAGTTGCATTGAAAACCTTCCTGTCTTTAGTTAGCCGTTTCTCAGAAGGGGCCATTAATAGAGTCATTCTGCATTTCAGTGCTGCTTAAACTTAGGGGCAAGACAAAGTTCAGGGATCTGAAAAGAAGGAAAGAAGCCTGACTAAAATTTGATCAAGTCAAATGATCAGGTATTCAGCTGAGTCAACGGGGATAAACAGTTCAGCTAATCATTTATGAGATGAGACTGGAAATTTGAAAGGTCTATGTGAGGCCTTGTCATAGGCAATCAGGGGGCATCTGTGAGTCTTATCTAAGTCATATGCAGAAGGTGGCTCTTTGCAGTTAGTTGTTTCCCAGAACCCAAAAGTGTGGAGGACTCCTTAAGTATCGTTCTTTCTTCAGGATCACAGGTCTCAGTGAAATTCAACATTGTCAGGGGTTATTGGAATGTGGAATTCTCTGTAAAGATGTGGATCGGAGTTCTACTAAATTGTGGAAGCTACTATACTGCCAAAAGACCATGAGTCTAACCTTTTAAAAATCCCCTTTGACTCATAAACCTATAAAACAACTCTTCATATCCCACATTTGCATGAGCAAGAAACAGCCAGCAGAAATTGTATGGTTTCTAAGTTGTACATTGGTCCCAATTTCCATTTCAAATATGGCCATGGAAGATATGAATGAGGAAGAACCTCAGACTGTTCTGAGCCTGAGTTCGTGGAGAATAATGAACAAGATCGAAGAGTCCTGGGCTATTTAAGGAACTACCCTCAAGGTAGGGGGCCTTTACAGTTCCTGTCAATGAAATCTGCACCACCACCCCCTCCGCTTTTTTTAAAGTTTTCATTGTGAGTATCCTGCATCTGCTCTATTCTTGTCTAATGGTAAATCCATAGAAACTTGCAGATAGCTTGTTCTTTTAGATCTAAGGCTACTAGACCTTGAGAAGGCAGGTCTAGATGACGGTAAGGACTATGCAACTCCTGGAGATCCTGGACTTTGAGTTGAATGGAGGGAGAGAAGTGGGTTGCCTCCCTTGGGTAATGGAGGATATGTACTGTGCTTGGGAGGAAGGGTACAGATAGTTGAGAAGAGACGCTGACTGTGTCACATATGACTAGCTTTCAATCGTAGATTCTTCTGCAGAGTTTGTTTGTTGCTGGAAAGTGACTTCTCAGCTAGAGATTCTCGTTCCCACTACTCTGTTTGCATATAACTGGTCTCAAATGACTAGCAGTGACCAAGGGAATGTGAATCTCTCTATACAAAGCAAAACAACTTCCTTTCCAAAAATCAGAAAGTGAGCATCCCAATGTCCAAAACTTGAAAGCAAATGAAATAAAACAAGCTGCTTTGGATATATATGCTAAAGGCAGAAGTTGGGGAAAGGGGCTAATACACTAAATGTCAGTAGTTGGATTACATGCTTTAGTGACATCTCCTTTAAACAGAACCAAAACTTATACAGATGAGTAAGTTTAGGCTCAGGGAAGCTAATAACTTGCTCAAGGTCAAAATAGAACTAAGAAGTGGAATTAATTTTCAAACTCAAATACATTTTAACACCATACTGTTTCCAGCTAAAAATTTCCAGCTATCATATACAGCATTTCTTCTCTATAATTGCCATCATCTTTATCATTGTTGTCATCATCATCATCATGTGATTATCATTACTATCATTATCACCCCACTTAGCATTTATGGTGTACCTATTGTATAACCAGAACTGAACTAGGTATTTGCCATGAACTATCTTTAACCCTTTATCAAGCACATTTTTATCCCACTTATAATCTGCTGAGCTCCTATTATAAGCCAAGTACTATTCTACTTGCTTGGCATACGTATTTCCAGGCTTCACAGCAATCCTCTGAGTTAAGTAATTATTATTCCTTTTTTCCTGAAGCAGAAACAAGTTCAGAGATATTAAAAAACCAAACAGAGTTCACACACTCTGAAATAGAGTTCCTCTTGGCTTTTTGGCCTAAAGCCAAGATAGTATTCAAACTCTTCAATATGTGTGCTACATCATACTTTTTTCAGAAATCTTCCTCATATATATATTTTTAAAGATTTATTTATTGAGCTTCAGGTCCTTGGAGCATCCGGACCATGCAGCTTAACGCTTGTCCTTGGTCCCTGCGGCATCCTCTACTTTTTTCCTGGGCAGGGCTATCGGCGGCCAGAAAGTCACCATGTCTATTCTCAAGATCCACGCCAGGGAGATCTTTGACTCTCGGGGGAACCCCACTGTTGAGGTTGACCTCTACACCTCCAAAGGTCTCTTCAGAGCTGCTGTGCCCAGTGGTGCTTCCACTGGTATCTACGAGGCCCTCGAGCTCTGGGACAATGACAAGACACGCTACATGGGGAAAGGTGTCTCAAAGGCTGTTGAGCACATCAATAAAACTATTGCACCTGCCCTGATTAGCAAGAAAGTGAACGTTGTGGAGCAGGAAAAGATTGACAAACTGATGATCGAGATGTACAGGACAGAGAATAAATCTAAATGTGGTGCAAATGCCATTCTGGGAGTGTCTCTGGCTGTCTGCAAGGTGGAGGCTGTCGAGAAGGAGGTGCCCCTGTACTGCCACATTGCTGATATGGCTGGCAATTCTGAAGTTATCCTGCCAGTTCCGGCTTTCACTGTCATCAGCGGTGGTTCCCATGCTGGCAACAAGCTGGCCATGCAGGAGTTCATGATCCTTCCCGTTGGTGCAGCGAACTTCAAGGAGGCCATGCGCATCGGAGCAGAGGTTTATCATAACCTAAAGAATGTCGTCAAGGAGAAATATGGAAAAGATGCCACCAATGTGGGCGATGAAGGTGGATTTGCTCCTAATATCCTGGAGAACAAAGAAGCTCTGGAACTGCTGAAGAATACCATTGAGAAGGCTGGCTACACTGATAAGGTGGTCATCGGCATGGACGTAGCTGATTCTGAGTTCTTCAGGTCTGGGAAGTATGACCTGGACTTCAAGTCCCCTGATGACCCCAGCAGGTACATCACGCCTGACCAGCTGGCTGACCTCTACAAATCCTTTATCAGGGACTACCCAGTGGTGTCTATCGAAGACCCCTTCGACCAGGATGACTGGGAAGCTTGGCAGAAGTTCACTGCCAGCGCTGGAATCCAGGTGGAGGGGGACAATCTCACCGTGCCCAACCCAAAGTGGATTTCCAAGGCTGTGGGCGAGAAATCGTGCAACTGCCTCCTGCTTAAAGTGAACCAGATTGGCTCTGTGACCGAGTCTCTTCAGGCATGCAAGCTGGCCCAGTCCAATGGGTGGGGCTTCATGGTGTCGCATCGCTCCAGGGAGACCACAGATACCTTCATCACTGACCTGGTGGTGGGACTCTGCACTGGGCAGATCAAGATGGGTGCACCATGCAGATCTGAGCGCTTGGCCAAGTACAACCAGATCCTCAGAATTGAAGAGGAATTGGGTAGCAAGGCCAAGTTTGCTGGCAGAAGCTTCAGAAACCCCCTTGCCAAGTAAGGTCCAGGTAGTGCACCCTGTGGTCCTGAGTCGGCTCATTAGACCTCTGCTCCCCCGGGGCAGCTCAAGGCTGCCCAAAGTGGCAGGGCCCTGTGCTAGTTAGCTGCCCTCTCCCTTCCCCGTAATGTTCTCAAAGCTTCCTTAGAATTGCTACAGAAGCCAGACTTGACCATCTGGAACCCTGCTGGGAACCCTAGCTCTGTAAATATGTGATTGGTCCAAATCATTGCTTTCTCACCTCACTTCCACCAAGCATCTGGAGCCAGGTCTGTCTATGTAATAATCTCAAGGTGTCCACAGGCAAGATCCCCAGTGGTTTTATGTGCAGAATAAAAAAGCCTCAGTGACCCATAGGAAAAAAAAAGATTTATTTATATATTTATTTATTCATTCATTCATGAGAGACACACACACACAAAGAGAGAGAGAGAGAGAGGCACAGAGACATAGGCAGAGAGAGAAGCAGGTTCCATGCAGGAAACCCGATGTGGAACTTGATCCCAGGACTCAGGATCATGCCCTGGACTCAGAAGGCACTCAACTGCTGAGCCACCCAGGCATCCCTTTTTTATTTTTTTCCTTTCTCATCTATTGCATTATTTGATCCCCATAAGAATTCTTAATGTAGGTAATTCTGAAGATGAGAAGATGAATTGCATAGAAGTGACAGGACTCCAGCCTCAAACTGTCATGGCAGAAGTGCTGAAGCTTGAATGTTCCTCTCATTGCAGTTGCTTTCTACTCCTTCACAAGGCCTACTTTCAGTGGCAGCCTTCACCACCTGACCAATTGTGTACCATTGTTCAAACACAAATGAAAATGATAACCAATATATCCCACTGACCAGAAATTGGAAGCTGAGCCTTGCTTTTCTAGTTTGGAGGAGACAATTTTCTAAAGAAGCATTTGGAATGCATTGTTAGTATATTCCTAACCACTTTTGTGTCAGCTCAGTGGTATGAAACCATTAGGACAATTCCAGAAAGTCCATTTTATGCTGGTCAGCTGAGAATGTAGGAGTTTGGTGATCAAGATTATCAAAGGAGCCCACAATCCCTGCAGGTATTCTTTAAAAAATGATGTGTATGGCACAATTCTGGGGCAAAGAATGCCCTAAGCAAATTTGTACTAATTTTGTAACCCCTTCCGCCAAGACAGGAAACGTGGCATTGCAAATCTATTTCTTTCTATCCCTAGAAAAGGGAGGAAATAACATCATGTGTGGGGACGGGGGAGATAGACGATGAGCACAACAAAAAAGCCAGCCCACAGTCTGGAACGCGAATGCCATAAATTCACAAGTAAAGCATTATTAAACATTTCCAGCCCCATAAATGCTGCCATTAATCACTTTCAAATTAACCTGATGTGAGTTAAATTATTGCAAGTTCCTGTGTAAATTAAATCATTATTAGTTGCAGGCTTTTTTTCTTTTTGGTTATAGGCAGCAGCTGAGAAGTAAGGGTTGGGGAGGCCTACTGGTTTCAATTTACAAAAGAAGGTTTAGGGGAAAAAGATTTTTGCTTGATTACAAGACCAAAACCACTTCACAATATAATATCACAATAATTGTAGCCATATATCATAACATGTCATAAGTCCAGGACAAAGCTCAGCCGCCTTTCGTAAGTGGCTGCCAAGAAGGCCAGAAAAGCGAGTGAATGAGGTAATGGATTTCTTTCCCCTCATTCCACTAGAGAGCAGTGTTCTTTTGTACAAATCAGGTAGGTTGTTTCCTGCAAAGAACCTGCAAAGAAAATCTTCTACATAAGAGAAGTTTTTGTAGCAGCAGAAAGACTTCTCACTTGCTATAAAGCTATGCATTCTGAATAAAAGCTAAAGACAGTATTTTTCCAGTAAAGGTCACTTTTATTTTCATAGGTATATTTCTAATACTTTTTTTTTTCATATGGAAAAGGTGTTGGCCATTTAAAAATAGAGCATGTAAACTATCTTTTACATCTTACAGTAAACTTTTTCAGATGACATTCTCCTGCCAAAACAGATGTCAGTAATCAAATTATAGTTCCTTTTCTGGGTAAAACAAGGATATAAATAACTTTAAAAAAATACCTATACCATTTCAGGAGACAATAAACAACTCTTGTCAGGAATAGGAATAAATGCAGACAAAAGGAAGAGTGAAGAGAGAAGGAATACAAGTGTGTTCTGAAAAGTGTTCTTCTTTTATGTATTAACTCAGTATACTGCCAGTACCTTTATTACTGTTGTGGAGAACAGCAAGTTTGCATGATAGGCATTTGTGTGCTTCTCTAAGAGAAAATATTCTGTCATAGGCAATTTGGCTACAAGTCCTTGATGAATCAGTTGACATTCCAAGAAGCTCATGGCCGCGCTAACAATAGTTGCAGTTTACCTCCTCATTTCAGATTGTGTAAATATATTTCTAACCCTTCAGCCTCAAGCATGTGGAAAACAGGCAAAGCAAAACCAGTGAGTTTATGTGTATGTGTGTCTGTAACTGGCCGGTTTTCTTGTTCAATAAGAATTAAATTACTGGGTAATTTTGGTTTCTTCTAGAAGGAAATGAATATGCTCTTAAGTATTTAGAATCACTAGAGAGCCTTTTAGGCATTCCTGGATACAAATCAGCGTCACCTGAAGTGTGGTTTCCTTATGCATTCAGCCCCATTTTTCTCCATTTGCTCTTAGTATTATTTTTTTCATACACTGCATCACTTTGCTATTTCCTCTTCCTAAACACACTGAACAATATCATTTGTAGGCAAAAACATCTTGGGAGAAAATAAATGGAAAAAAATCTGAGGCCTGACAAATGACAATAGTAAAGGCTCTTCAGAGTATTCACTGTGTTAATTTAGAGAAATTGGAGCATATAAAGTGTCAAGTTTGACATCAGCAAATCCTAGGATTTATTAGGGCCTGCTCATCTTTGCCAGTGTGATGTACTTTTTGACACAGTAGACATAGAGAATTTAATATTCCTTGACCAAAATAAACTTGGGCTCCCTGAATTACAAATCCAGGTATCTTGAAGAACCGTGTTCCACATAAGATCTGGCACATAGACGATGCTGAATAAACAGGGCTGAATACATGAGTGATTGAAATGCAGAGAGAAAGTAATAAATCCCTCCATTCCAATCAGGTTTAATGCCAAAGGCTTAGGATTCAGCTACAACAAAGAGCTTTGCTTATATCACAAAACTCCACACATCTAAAAATTAGATATCAAGAATAGTGCAGAGGACTTCACAGGAGCTCTATACACAGATGGACCTGGGTTTGAACCCTGGCTCTACCACATATTTTGTGTGTCACATGGTGCCAAGCTCTCTAAGCCTTATCTTCAGCATTTATACAGGCAGCAAAATTATTAATCCTTCCCTTCCAAAAGTAGGTGGATGACAGGTAACGTTGCTTTGCTTAAAACAGACACTTGAAAATAGAAGAAAATCGATCTAGATAACGGGGTGACCCAGCCAGTAGCATAATCTCTCACTTTTAAATGAAATCTTTTGATTAGGTCAAATTATCTGAATAGTCCAGGGGAAATATTAAAGACTAGAATTTCTTGGCCACAAACACATTTTAGTCCTCCTGGGAAGAAAAGTCACCTAAGTAAATAATTAAGTGAACATTTGATTTGAAATCTCTTGAATATCTCAGCCCAAGAGCAGAAGAAAACAGACTATTTCTAAAGTTTGTTGGATTTGGAATAAATGCTTTGTGAAACACTTAACAAATTGTAAATGCATATACCCATTTGGGAGGGCAAGTTGGCAATATATTCAAGAGCCTTAGAAATATTCATGAACTTTGAGATTGTAATGCCATACCAAGGAATCCATCCCAGGGAAATAACAATCTGAGATACGCAGTCAAAAGTTTACATACAAGACTGTTTCTAACATTTTTATAATAGTGAAAAGCTGGATACAATTTAAATGTCTAACAATAGGGGATTAAATATATTACGTATTTCCTTGCAAAAGTCTATTGAAAGCCATTAAAACTGTATTTTCAGATAATGTTTAATGACATGGTAAATGCTCAAATATAAATTTAAGTGAAAAAAGAAGATATAAAACTGAAAACTGAATTTACAATGGGATGCCAATTTTATAAAACTGAGCATTTCACATAATTAGTTTTATTCAACATATTTTAAGTAGCCAACCAAAATATTGTCAAAGCATAAAAAGATAAGACAAATGAATTTCAAGTTTAAGAGTAAAATACTGTTCTCTCTCTTTTTTCTATGTCTATATCAAGCTCAGATTAATAATCATAATCGTAGTATGATACAATTCATATTTTCTTCTTTACATGTTTCTTGTTCTCCCAATTCTGACATAAGGATATATAACATTCATTGACAGAAACAACTAACAAGTTTTGATTAGATTTTATTACAGAGGAATTGTAGTCTAAGATATTGCCTTTTACTTTGCATTACTACATTTAAGGAATCTGGGGCATGTTTGGCAAATTTTTGGATGGGCCCAAATGAGTTAAATTTGTACTTCATTTGAATTTTCTAAGGGAGGAAAGCACATTGTGATGGCGTTTTTGTAGACACACCAGACCAACTAGTTAAGGGGACTCCATAGAAGTTTCTTTACAAGGAGATTGTAGAAAACCTACCAAGGTATAATTAAGTAAAAAAGAAGGAGCTGGATACTTTTAGTCACCCTCAGAGAAAAACAGCATTTGCAGGTGGCCTCAGCCAAATTAGTGGCTCTGCTCACTACTGTGGAATCCTGTCTAGGGCAAAAGGAGGATGAGAGGGAATTGTAGGTAAAACGTAGATATGATGCTCCCCTGAACTCTATAACTCATTTAGACCCAAATGATACTTCTTTGGTATCCCTCCAACAGATTATATGAAAAGTAAGAATAGGCATTCTTCATTCCTCTAGAGTGCTGATACCCTGAAGACTTATGCAATCTATCAATGTAGAAATTATGGGCTTGGTTTGTCAATGTGAGAAACTTTTCACTTGGACCAGCAACTG